CTCATTGTAGACAGTTTGTCACCACTTTGTGTCATGAACTTTCAGCTGGTATAGAGACGCCAATGCTGACCTGCTGCTCCATCACCTGAGGACAACAATGACAGAAATACAAAAACAGAAAAAAACTGACTAGTTTGAAAAAATATTATTGTAAGCAGACACTGAGGCGATTTCTGTGCAAATACAAATTGGACAGAATGTGTGCGCCGAAGATGTAGTATATATGCCATATTATATTATCCCTTTTTTTTTTAGATAGTAAGATTTATGTTTTTTCTTTAATTACTAATTGTCTCTGTGATTTATAGAGTTACAAGGAGTAATGCAAGGTTTTCCATGTTCAGTTTCATTACTGTGGGGTGAGGCATCCTAGAGAGACAGTGATTTGGTTGCATCAATCAACATTTTTAGTGACTGACTTTTTGGTTTGTTTTGCCAACCGAGGTGAACTGTGTGAAGATTCTTCTTCTTTCTTTATTTGTCATGAAACTAATGCTTTCAAACACTTTATTTAAGAACTTTGCATGAGCAGTGGTAGATAAATGAATCCATTTTGTTGTATTAATGCAACAAACGGTGATGTGTGAGTTTTTGATATCAGTGTGTATGTGTTCAACAGGAGGTTTATAGAGACAGAGATATGTTGATATGTTCCTTCTGATCATGTAGGAAGAAGACTATTTCCTAATCAAAGCAAACTTACCATGAAAAAATAATCTAAACAAATGAAAATGTTTTATGAAAGTCTGAAACTAAAATGTCTCTATTTCAAATTTCTTTGTGCAGCTACATGATGTGGGAATTTTAAACTTCCATTAGTAAGACGTTCTGTGTCTTCTGTTGTGAAAATAATAAGGAATCACACAGAATAATTAAAAGTATTATTTTATAAATTCAAAGAAGAATCATAATGAAACAGAAAAAAAATAAACACTAAAAGAATAAAATGCATTATAGGCATCTGTAAGATTACTCATACCATTTCAGTTTAGTGTTATTGCTTGCTATGTGTTGTTTGAAACTGGAGAGGAGGTTTACAAGAGGTAACATTAATGCAGACAACATCAGGGCCGTGTGATCCCTCATGTGGGGTATATATTCATATTTTCTTTCTGTCTTTGTTTAAACTCAACAGCAGATCAACCAAAGGCCCAAATAACTTCAGACATGAGAGACATCCCAGTAGGGGGAAATGTGACCCTAAACTGCTCTGTGAACCCATCATCATCATCATCTGGATGGAAACACTTCTGGTACAGAGATGAGAACTCCTCTGAACCTCTGACCACACAAGATGCAGTTTTCCACTCAAATGGACAAATCAGTGTCTCACAGGAAGGACTCTACAGGTGCAGAGGAGGAAGAGGAAACCCAGTTTACTACACAGAGGACAGCCAGTCAGTCAGGATTGATCACAGGGGTGAGTTAATTTTTTTTCTTCAAGAAATACAAAAAGTGATAAGTTAATGATCTCACAGTTAGACCTTTAGTGGATGTATGAATGGAAAACTACCAAACAAAAATAAATTCACTCGAAGATGCACAATACAAATGTGAAGGGAGAGCGCGCACCAGTGTTGAGTGATTACTTCATGTCAGCATTCATTAGGTTTTTTATACAATATGTAGAATAGATGATGATGTGAATCTACTTCTAAGCTCGCTCATTATCTACTGTATATTACCATTATTTAAAAAATCATAGTGTCTGCAGACAAACGTAAATGTTCTTCTGAGCTGAAACATATTAGCACAGAGCTTTACAGTATAAATACAAAGTGATAAAATAACGATATATACTTTTGTCTCTGTAAAGCTCACATTATGTATTTGAATTAGAAAATAATTCACAGAATTTATCACCACTCATCTGAATCAAAATCTGCTGTTGGTTTAAATACCTTTGCTCATAAGGGAATGATAAACAGGTGATAAGAAATTCAAAAGGTTTTTTGTATCATTATTCAGGTAAATAATCACCACAGAGGACGATGATACTAAAAGAAATGGAATATTTTCAGTTATTATTAGGAATAGTGATGTTGTAAATAGTATTTATGTTTTAAAATGTCCCCATGTAAACTATGTTGCTAATCTGTATAAATGCATCGAATTAAAGCCTGGTATTATTACAGCAGCACCTGAAAGCTCTTCATTTCTCACTCCTTTGATCGTTGGACTCGTTTGTGGGATTTTACTGATTCTTTTTCTTCTGCTTTTGTGTCGCTTCAAACAGTCAAAGGGTGAGACCATTATCCATCTGATATTAAACTGAATATGATGTAAATAATAAAAATCACAGATGTATCCTGAACGCTCAATGTAATATTTCTGCACCACAACAGGTTACAATAAAAAATGTAATTGTCTTTTCTTACAGATTCATTCTTTGCCAGGTTGGTTCAAATCTCCCCTCTCCTGTACTAGAACTACATCCCGTGTTTCTTATTAAACCTACAGGTTTACTACGTTTGTTTTTGTTTGTTTTTTTGTTTTTTTTTGTTCTACCAGGACTCGGAGCACAAATCAGAGCTCTGCAATGAACCACATGATCAAGGATGAAGCTCAACACAGTCGACATGCTTCTACTGTCCAAGGTCAGCCTGATCCATGACAAGTTTTGTTGTTGTTGTTGTATTTATTAATTTATTTACTGACGATTTTTAAACTCCAGGTCCAATATATCTGTTTCTAGTTTGTTGATTTAGAAGATAATCAAACCCATACATAAGAAATTCAATTTTTAATCTATCATTGGCTTGTTTTTGTAGGTGATGCTTGTGTTTATGAATCAATCAAAGACCACGATGACACACAAAATGGTAAAGTAGATACAGTAGCATAGACATATGAAAACTATGTGATTATTTATGTTTAAACATGGAAGTTTTAGAAATCAGCTGCACACAGATAAGAAAACAAAGAGGTTGGACACTTGGTTCTTCCAGTGTAACACGGGGTCAGTTCAACTTTAAGACCAGTCTGTCCTACAAAACATAAACCGTGTGAATCTGATTTATGAATCTATCTCATTCCTCCTGACTGATTATTCTCTAGTTTCACTTTTTGCTGGTGTTACTGTCCCTACTAACAGTATGAGACAACAACCAGTAATCAACCTCATGTCTTCATTTTTTTAACTCTTTGCTTATATCCTTTTTTTGTTTGGTTGTTTTTACATTTTCAGAGATTTTTTTCTTTATTTTGGTATATATTTTTTTTTAAATGTAATTACGTTTTGTTTTCATTTTTCTTATGCCAAGTTATGTAATAAACATCATTATTATTATTGTTATTCTAATATTTTAACCTAGAAGAATCACGTGGAATTAATTTCAGCGCTGTTTCAGATTAGAGATTAGAAGAAACATTTTAGGAGTCTGTTGATTAGAGCACATTATCTTGTTTTAAGAGGACATAAATGGCATCAGTAGTGCAGGAGTATAGAATGGCAAAGATGGAGGAAAAGTGAACGGTGATCCTTAAGGTTTGGATTTGAGCTTAGTGGAAGGGTCGTGCTGAGCAGGGTTGAGCTGATGTGACACTGACTTGAGGGCTGACAGGTTTTCATAGAAAAGGTTTTTAAACATGACAGAAACATCTCATCTTTAATAGACCTTCAATAGGTTTCTATGATCAGTGTGTTGTTGACTGACAGATATATAAATGTAATGAAAATGAACACGCTTCACCTTTTATCCTGATCATCTGTCCATCCTCTCTCAGATGACAGTGTGCTGTATGCACAGGTCTCCCATGATAGAGCTAAAACCAAGAAAGACAACGGTGAGTAAAGTAATATAATGTAGAACTTTTTTCTTGACTTCATTGACTACACCATTATTTCATCATTTTAAGAGGGTTATAATGATATCAGTTAGATATCATTGTATTATAGAGTCACTGACCTTAATAACCAGGGTGGAGGAAGCTTGAAGTGATCTGACACTGAAATGAGATTTAACAGCAGCAGAGAAAGAAACAGGTTTTCAAACATGACAGTAACAGGTTGTCATAAAATCTCGTCTTCAACAGAGCGAAAATCTCCTTCAGTCAGTTCCTGTGATGAGTTACTGTAGGTGTTAACTGACAGAAAATATAAAGGAAATTAAAGCCACTTGTTTTTTAATGCTGGTCATCTGTCCATCCTCTTTTAGATGACAGCCTGTTGTACGCACAGGTCTATTACACTAAAGCAAAACCTAAGAGACACAAAGGTAAGTAATGTAATAAAATAAGTACCTTATTTCTTTTGCTTTGGGTTTTACATGTTTTACACACCAAGGAAAACTGTATAAATAATTCAAGTTGTCACTTTGAACAAAGAGGCACTTGCAATGACATTTGACAAATCATTTCTTTATTTGCAGGAAAACCAGCTCCTGCAGCAGCTGATGAAACAGTTTATTCTGAAGTGAAATCACAAACAGCTCTGGGTAACTGCAGAAATAAAATAGCTTACATGTTGTGATTTGTTGCTGTAACGATGAACTCAACTACTCAAGTTTTTAGGGAGTAAATTCAGTTCTAAATCACCTTTAACGACTGAATTATGCTGCATCGTTTCTTTCAGATTAATAACAGGATCTGCAAAACCAACTGGATCAGTGACAAAACTGTGTTAATTCCATTAGAAGTAAAGAGCTCATTGGAGAAAATGAGATTATGCACTGTTTTGTAAAATAAAATAAAGTCAAACAAACTTTCTTTCATCATAATAGCACCAACTGATGATCTGGCTTTGAGACCAGGATGTTTTTTAGAGTGTTTTTACATTTAGATTGCTCAATAAATAAACAACAAATAAAAAAAATAAAAATAAACAACACTTGGAAATGAAAGTCATCAACCTACAGAGGGCTAAATGCAAAGACACATCAAAGTGACAAAATAATGCAGCAGGTTTGTCTGTTTTGTCAAATGTTCATTGCACCAACTCTAAATGATACTCAGTTGTCAGTTTGGCCAACATGTGCTTGTGTGCATGCCTGACAATGTTGGAGCATATGATTAATGAGTCAATGGTGTCCTGGGGATCTCCTCCAAGATCTGGACCAGGGCATCTGAGCTCCTGGAGAGTCTGAGCTGCCGCCTGGCAGCTTCAGATGGAGAGAAGCATAATGTCCCAGTTGGATTTTGGTCAGGCAAGTGTGGGGACCAGTCAGTGGTATCAATTCCTTAATCCTCCAGGAACTGCCTGCATACTCTTAACACATGAGGGTGGTCATTATCATACCAGGAGGAACCCACAACCCACAGCACAATAGGGTCTGACAGTGGGTGACAGACTCTTGAGCATGCACTGAATTGGCATCCTAGAGGAGTTGGACATCCTCTACAGCCTCTGTAGCATCCAGGGATCGTCTCACCCTGCTAGTAACGATGATGACCCTAGCCAAATGCAAAAATAGTGAAAAAAATAGTCAGAAGAGAGTGAGGAGGGAAAAATGTCAGTGACCTCTACCTGTAAAACAAGTTTAGGCGTTTGAGTGATGTGATGCTAAACACTGATTAAAAATAATTCCTTTAAT